CTGCTCTCGGGAAGTTGCAGCGACCGGCTTCTTGAGATCGGCCTTGGTTCCATCACTTTGGTCCCCAGGCAGCCCTGGAATATGACCGAGCGGTGCCCCAAATATGTCGTTTTCCCTCCCGCCTCCCCAGAGGGCTGCGCGGAGGCCCAGAACTCCTGGCAGGATCGTTGCCCGTTTGGCCACAAAAAAAAACGACCGAGTGGCCAAAATAAAAGAAAGGCGTTTGGAAAGCTTTTATCTGGAGGCAAAGGGGACGGCTGGGTCAGAGCAGGGGAGCGGAGAGGTTAAGGGGAAAGCCTTGAGGGGGGGATGGCGGCAGCACAGCGACCGACCAGGCAGCAGCGCGGCGCGGGGCAGGTTGGCGGGCGCTGCCCGGCACACCTCGCTGTTCTTCCTCCACGCGCGCAAGCCGTCGTCCCCCAGCCCTCCGTGGGGCTCTGCCAGACCCTTATCGCCAGCACTGGCCCCGCGCCGGGGGCGAAGCGAATGCAACGGGGAGTCCGCCATCTGATGCTGCGGTGACTGGCCTCCAGCCAAAACGGGACGGGGCAGAGGTGGCAGGGCTGGGTTGACAGCTCAGCACCAGAGGGAGCGATCAAACTCTGCTCCGGGGACAGAAGTTCCCCTGCGGGGAGTTCGGCGTCCAGGCAGCAACATTAAAAGCATGGCATTTCCTTCCCTCCTTGCCACATTTCCTCAGGCGTGCAAAGCTTTTCCTCCCTCTCCCCTCCAAGCAGCCTCGCAGCGCGAGAGCTGGAACGGTGCTGCGCTCTCCCCCAGGGGAGCCTGGATAATACTGCTGCCGCGGGGCAGGAGAAGAGCCCCAAAGTCCGCAGAAACCTGGCAGGGAAGTGGGGCAGCAGGCACCGCGTCTCACGGCAGAAGGGCTCTCGGGTGCAACCCCATCTCCTCCCGGCCGCGTTTCTCAAAAGCAAAGCAAGATGGAGCAGGAAAAACAGCGGTCACAGACATCCCGCCGTTTAAACGCGCTTCGAGAGCCGCGCGTTTTCTGTTGCTGTCATCACCCCGCTACGGCAATTCCTTTTGCTGGCAGAGCAAGCCTCGCCGTTCTCTTCATCTTCCAGCCTCAAGGCTGACAACCTCCACCTTGCTTCGCTCCCCAAAACCCCCATTTCCTACCCCCCTCTGCCTTTATACAACTCCTTATCAGCCTCTCCCACCCCAGCTCCCGGCGGGCTGCAGATAAGGCCAAGACTTTATCTTCCCGCCCGGCCGCCCTCAGCAGCATACTTCAGTACCGGGGAGGCAGATTTCCAGGAAACAAGAAAGCACAACACTTGTTTGGTTGTTTTGGTTTGGTTTTTTTTTTGGTTTTTTTTTTTTTTTTTTGAAAACACGCTTTAATATGCCATTATTCAAATCCGTGGCTCTTCTAGCGCACTTGCAAGAAGAGCAAAGAGACGACAAGCCCCGGCTACTCCAG